GCGGCTACCAAATCACTGCGGCCTGTGTTATGCCAGCGGAAACCAGCGCAGCACTTCTGGACCGAACCCACCTCGTCAGAGTAAAAGCACCTCTCATCAAAACAGTATGTCAGGCCTTTGTGTGCGTTAACAAACACAGAGGATTGTATTCACAGGCTACTTCGAAATGATTCACCCTGTGTCTGAAGGAGAGGTATCGAAGGCCGTTCCTACCTGCAGCTGTAAGACTGTACAACCACAAACTACAGTGCAATATTCACTGTGCTATATTCATCTGTCTGTGCAATATCAACGGTTCATGTGCAATCCATTCATTGTACATATTCCCATTCTGCATTTATTTCTTCCCGACTTTACAATGTATATACTAGTTTAATTACATTCATATTATTCTATATCTCCTTTCTTTTATATTCCTTACACTTAAGTATTGCATGTCACTTATTACTTGCTGATGTCTTTTTGACTCTTACTGCTCTAATACTGCAAATTGCCTCATTCTGGGGCTAATAAAGGATTATCATATCTTAAATGCCTCTCTGTTTTACAATATGTGCAGTCTTGCACAGATGTCTAGATTAATTGTTTGATCTATGTTATATGTAAAAAAGTGGTAAATACCTATCTAAATATTGTGTGAATATTATGAGAAATCTGTCAGGTCAAAATTCTAAATCCTCAAATATGTTAAATCTGCAGCATCAGAGAAGTTGGACCACTGGATATTTTTCACTTGCTTGAATTGTAAATTATTGGTTGTACTCTATTATTTTCTTAATCAATTGTTTAATCTACACAATTCTAATCTTATCTCAATAGAAACAGTGAAAAATACCCAACACATATCTTTGGAACACCAATGAGAAATGTTCAAATAGCTGATTCTGTCGGAACAATAGAAATTATGAATAATATAAGTCTGCAATTATAAGAAACAAATTCAACAGCAACATCCGACAAGTTGCCTAATGAATGTTTGGCACTTGCTTGAAAAAAATGTGTGTGAGGATTATTTTTTGCCTTAATAATATATTTTTATTTAAATTATTACACTGAGTCTAATTAATCATTTGCAATTTTTGATTTAATGTGTCTGGCGACTGAATACTACATTTCTTTACTGCACTCCGTATGAAATGAAATAAAAGAACAACCTTTTGTTCTGGAAGCCTGCCGCTGAAACCGGAAGTCTTATTGTTGGACCGCATCTGTCACTGCGCTGCCGACAGAGAGCCCTCCGCCATGCGCACGCGCGGGGCTCACAAGTGCGCGCTGCCAACGTAGTGCTGCTGCAACTGGCATCATTGTGGCTCCGTGCACGCGGCGCTGCGCCTGTGTTCTCATGGCCCGGACGGAGCCAAAATGTCTCCTCTGCGCGTATGTTGCATGAAGTAACCTGTGTTAAAATGGTTCACGGACACAGCATCGCGCACGCGCTCACAGACACTGAGGTGGTTTTGGGGTTCCAGTGAATCTATAGATATAATATCATATGAGGGAGGCTGTCATATAGATGGAGTCCAGCGCGGATGATACGACTGCCTTCGCGAGATTCCATGTTTATGTCAGACCTATGGTAAATAATATCTGACACAGTGCATGTTCATTTGAATATGGTAATAAAATATTATTCTGATTGGATGATATAATCAGCACATCTCCGGGAGGGTGCAGCTGCAACACAACATTTTTGTGAATCTTTCTTTTTTTAAATTAAACTTACGGAGAAGCAAACAAGTTGCTCCATGTTCTGTGTGCTCACTCCTAAAACAACACTTTATACGATTATTTACAAAGCTGCATATGAGAAACATGAGATCATTTCTATTTTCTATACCTCTGTCAAATAAACTTCATATATATATATATATATATATATATATATATATATATCTGAATTAATTCTCAAATACTTTTATGTTCATATTAACCCTGCAGATAAAAGTGTACCAGGCTAGGACATTATTTATTTACTGTTACAATTTCATCATGAAAGTATGCAGGGCACACTTAAGTTTATAAAAAAAAATACAAGAATGGTCCAGTTCCTACATAGCAAATGATTCAAACACTTTTAGCAAGAGGCATCCACATTACTGCCATCGATAATTTTTGAGAAATTCTATGGTGTATAATTGTACTTTACAAAGTTCTTGAAAAAGTACTAATTTAACAGCAACTCTCTGTGCGATGCTCTTTTTTTTTAGACTTTTGCTACTGTCAGTGTTAATAAGCAGCAGCTATCAAGAGGCTTTCTATTTCTTCAACCAAAGATTTGAGACTATAATGATGTTTCTTTCATTCTTATCTTCATCAAGAGTCACTTTTACTTTCACACTCATGTCTGCATTTTATGTTCTTACTCTATTTGATATACAGTATTTTGACATTAAATATTATCGATAGTAGTACTTTTACTATTAAGCCTGTTTTATGTACGTTAAATAGAATATTTCCACAGCACATGTGTGCCATTCAAAAGTCTGTGGCTGCCGTGACATACTGGAACAATTCATCAGTTTGCAGGGAGCAAACCGCAAGTTACGTCTTCTTGCTTCTTCCTTACTCTAAATATAATTACTTAAGAACACAATTAAGTGAATAAATGTCTCAATTTGTGGCAACTCTTTAGATCTGAGTTATGATCCATGTAACTACAACCTTCTGTTTCTAATGATTGAGACCTGGAGGAAAAGTAAAGTCACATAGAGTGGCTCTTCTCCATGCAGGTGTATCAATGTGCATAATGGCAGGACCCACATAGACACATCTACAGTAATGATGCTATTAATTACTCCCATACTTTTGCTAAGAAAAACAGGTCAATGTTAATTATGGTGTGAAACATAATTCAATTTAAATTGACTTCACGTTAATCGCAAAATACAATTGCATGACAAGACGATTTAAATGTGGCACTATGTTGAGTTAAAAGTATACAATGCATGAAAGTAGCATTTTACTACTTCTTTTCCTTTTTGCATCTGCTGAACTCTTTGAACGGCCCAAGAAGATAAAAAATGTATATGCTACTATGAGCATGTTACAGTCATGTATATGTGTACGTTTTTTGTTTTTTTTTACCTTTTACATGATACTGACAGCTCAGGTTCAGTAGCAGCTGCAAATTTCAGGAATCTTCATCAGATCAGACGTTCAGCGGAGCCAGACAAGAAGAGTTCAGCTAAAGGGCCTGATAAGAAACAAAGACAGATGATAAAATCTATATTGAAACTATCCAGATAGAGAAGGAATCATTTGTGCTTTAGACTGATGTCAGTTGTACCGAGTCTGACAGTGTGAATGTGAGTCAGAGATGTGCCAACTAGCCTCTGCTCAGAGACCTTTGTTTCCTCTTCTTTAGGGCCACCTTCTGGCCAATGTTCACATGTTTTGCCCCAGTAAGCATGCAACAACAATTTTGTTTCCTGCTGTAGGCCTGCTGAGAAATGATACCTCACATTGTGCTTGGTGGACGTTGTCTTGTTAACATCCTCTTGTGAAACAAATGACCCTGTTGTTTGCACTGTAGAGGTATAAGAGACAAAAGATCATTTTCTTCCAGACCTCTGTCTCCAGTTATCTTTGATCCTGAAAGCAACTTTACAAACCTCATCACAAGTATAACTCAGACAGTGGTTTTTGTCACCTAAAAACGTATCCAACGGTAAATCCATGTTGTCTGGTTCAATCTGTACATGTTATTCCCACAGTTAGATCACTTCATTGGATTCTTACAAAATAAAGACATAATTTTTAAAATACTGCTCACAAAGAAAATCACTTATTAACTAACTCTTATAGCTCTCTCTGACCTGCTTGCTGCTTCCAAACCCTCTAGAACTGTACAAGTCTCTTGACCTGGCCCATGTTAAAAAGTGAAATCTAAAATCTTTCTCTGTAAAAAAATCTGCCTGATAATATAAGATGGACCATAAATGAGCTATCTGTGCCTTCATCTCTGTGTGTCTTTCTTTCTGTCTTTGGGTGTATGAGAGTGGGCGTTACATTTGGATTGATTGATAAACTAAACATTTGTTTATGTATAAAATACGTCTGTTACATCAGTCAATATTATATCCAAAACACCCAAGAAACACTGGATTAACATCAGATCTCCTTTATTCCAGATTGCATTTGAGAAAGAAAACACCCTCCTATGGGGCCACGTGATCATCTGTCAAATAGCCTACTGTACAGTTACACCCTCGTGCACGCACAAACACTCCACAGAGTTGTTAAAGGGGGAAAGCCCTGTAATCAATGCCTCCACAGGATGGCAGTATGAGTGGGTGTATGTGTGTGTACACATGTGTATGTGTGTACACACATACAGTACATGCACATCTATATATATTATATAAATATAAATGTGCATGTGTGTGTATGCATATGTAGGTGTGTGTGTGTTTATGTGTGAATGAAGCTTTATAGTGTATAAATGTGCATGTAGGCCTATATATGTGTGTGTGTTTATGATTGAATGTAGCACTGTGTGTGTGTGTGTGT